AAAGTAAAAGAAAGTTACCCTACCTAGTCTTAACTAACCTAACTAACGGGGTACGGAGGACGACCCCGTTCCGTACCTACACCAACGGACCGAACGGACCGACACGACGGTGTGTGTGTGTGTGTGTGGGGGGGGGGGTCTGCTCTCCAGCAGTTGCCCCCACTCCACCCCCAAGATCTCAGAAGTTGCCTAGAGTACAATAATGAGAGGCCCAACACAACCAGCTTGGCTTTGGTTCTGCACCCCGAGAGACCCACACACAACCTGGACCTTCCTGACCGCCTCATCTCTTCAGTTCCCAGTCCCAGCTCAGACTAAAGGAACAAGTGGAGAGGGTAGAGCTCAGTGGTAGAGTGTGTGTTTAGCATGCATGAGGTCCTGGGTTCAATCCCCAATAATTCCATCAAATAAATAAATAAACCTAATCCCCCGACACCAAAATTTTTTAAAAAATCAAAACAGATTGAAGGTGCAGAACCAGATGCCAGGACACGCGCTCCCTGCCTGCTGCTCTGAAGCTCAGGGGCACCGCTGCCATTACTCACCTAACCTTCCCAGACCAGCTCTTTCCCCAAAGACTCTGAGCCCCCAAACCAACTATCTACAGCCACCTGCCCCCCAGAACAGGCTCCCCAGCTAACAACAGCTCAGGGAACACTGTTTCTGCGTTTCCAAGCCAGACAAATACCCTCTGATGCTGTGCTAGGAGGGCCTCTCAGAAAGCAGTTCACACTGCTACTGCGAGGCAGTGTCACTCAACCCACGGGATCCTGAACGTCCCATCTGACCTCCAGCGCCCCCCACTCACTCCTTGGACTAGAGCCCAGAGACCTTGAGTCGAGGGACCAGGAGCCACTGCCCCACCCTCGCCAGGGACAGGAACTGCCCCACCACAAGAGCGATGCGATTCCCCAGATAGGAGGGGAACACAGAATTCCCTCACCTTTTCCTCGCTGCCAGGGGACTTGCTCGGGGACTCGCTCGGTGACGTGAGCCAGCTCCACCAAGAACGGAGCCAGGAGCCCTGGGATGAGCAGCCACTCCACCCAAAGGCGTGTGCTCCGGAGGCTGGCGGGGTGGCGCTAAGGGCGTGGCGGGCTGGGGGCACCTCACGGGGAGCCCCACTTCCCACCGGTCAGGGAGAGTCCCTCGCTTCCTAGGCCTCCAACTCTGCAGGTAGGACCCTCAGTCAAATAGACTTGCGAATCAGTAAAGTACACTTTTCCCTGCGCTCCATGGTCCGATGGGCCTCGACAGGCTGGGTAGGACCAACCTTTCCTGAATCCCGACAGGGCCCCTTCACGTGTGCACTCGTGCGCACACACACAACTTCAGCCTCATGAGGCTCACTGTTACCTACTTCCTCTGGGCCCAGGCTTGTGAGTTGCTCTCCTGGCCTTGGTTGCGTGTGTGGGTTTTGTTTTTTTTAAACCTGAACCTCTGAAGATCTATGTGGCATTTAACACGGCAGGTCTAACAGCCTTTGCACTCAGAAGTTAATCGAAGGGGGCCTCCCTACCCCCAGGGCCTCCCACTCCTGAGGCCCAGGATGCTCAGGTGGGCCTGCCTCCAGCTGGAAAAGCCTCGAAGAATGCAGAGCCCGGCCCTCGCATTGGTGGGGAAGGGACCTGGCTATTTTGAATCTGTCGGAACTGAATGCCTGCCTGCTTATTTTTAGCAGGTCCATTTGCCCGGGAGTGGATGCAGGCTGGCCGGCTGCCCGGTGGTCACACAGAGCCGAGGCAGGCACGTGCCGCAGCCCACAAGGCTTGGCCACTCCAGGTTCTAAAGAGATTTCATCTTGCTCCCAGAGGAACCTGCAGCTTCTCGGGACAGCTCACCTCTGGAGAAGTAAC